GCAATTTTAGTATAAAGGATGATTAAAAACCATAATTATGACTTGCCTAAGCCTAGTGGTAATCGCCTTTCGTAGCCTATACATAATTGCGATATTAGGTGTAGTGCCACAGGCGTACATTGTTTAAGCCTTTTTTGCATAAACTAAGCTTAAAGGCGTACAATTGTTTCAAGAGCATTCTTGAAACAATTGTATTTCGATGTGCATCTTCGAGATTTATAATCACCAGGTAGTACTCTCTACAGTGTACTGGTATATATAAATCTCTTCGGATTCAATATCTTGTTCAATTACGGTCGAACTAAGTAAATTAGTTTATCATTTTATATATCTGCCTTATTTATGTCGATATAAAGTAGCTTTTTCATTGTAGGAAAATAAATAATACCTTAATTCGGAACACTTAATTATTTTCAAACTAGACAGAGCTATGAAACAATAGAGATAGAGCTATAACATAATTTCGACGACCTCCGTGGTCGAGTGGTTTGTACGCCGGGTTGCATGGTGTCGCCGACTCGAGAGGTCCCGGGTTCAAATCCCGGTGGGGGCAGATGTTTGTGTGATGAATACGAGCATTTGTACTCCAGTCATGGATGTTTAATATGTATTTGTATATAAAAAAAAAATATATATATACTTATATATGTACAGTTTATGTATTCTATCCGTTACCCTACTATCCCATAACACAAGCCTTATAGTGCTTACTTTGGGGCTAGGCTAATTGGTGTGAGTGTTGGAAATATTTATTATTTATTATTATAATAATACGTAGCTAATCTTGTTTTATCGTGTATGTCTTCATATAAATACATCGCGATGATCTCAAAAAGTACTGGAAAAGGATTTTCAAGCAGTTTCATCATTAATTAGACAGCTTTTCCAGACGGAAACAATAAATGTATACCTAAACGAGGCCGAAAACTGATAATAATATAAAAGATAAGACATATAAACGTCCCAAACGGGATTTTAATCCAGGAACCAGGGCCAAATAAAGGTCAAGTTAAAAAAATACTGTCTTTTCCCAGAAAACCTTTTTTTGCATTTTGACCGTTATGAATATGCATAACATGGTTACTAAATTATAAAAAAAATAGTGCTGGAAATCTTTATTGAGACCCTATTTTTTTTCTGTTATTTGGTAAAAATGATTACCGTCAATTTGCTGTAGTCAGTGTTGATACACATTTGTACCTGTTTCATCGCATTTTCCATTATTTCTGCAAGATTTCAATGTTCCGCAAGAGTTCGCATTCCTCTGTGGGCAACAACTCTTTATGGGCTGCGATTGTCTTAGGCTTGTAAGCATAAACCCGTAGTTCCTTGGATCACAACACATACACTTCTTTTATATTTGTTGGAATTAGTTAGTTTATTACTGTATTAAATTTACACTATATAGTTTTTGAAATAACAGTTTCTTTATGATTTGGAAGATATTTCAGCTAAAAGATTAAATTATTTATATTGAACGTAATTTTTATTGATTCTTAACATACGAGAAGACATTCACATATTTTTTTTTCATAAAACTCAGTGCCATATGTTTTTCCGCTATAAAAATATTATGTCACTTTGTAACAAGCGAACAGTCCTCTTATTAATGATTAAATTCCTTTCACGGAATGGAATGCAAGAAGTAAACTTGCGAGGACTGTCCCCGACTTCATCCTCAAACTCATGGAGTATAGCAAGCGATATCAAAATGAAATAACTATATTTATTTTTTTCTTTTAAAAACTTTATTAATGTCAACAAAAGGTACAACAATAATTACAAAGAAGACCGGCAGCGTCTGTATCGCCAAACTAATTCGTTGAACATAAAAGTTAGCAGATCTTGGGTCCCCCGTAGCCCCGCACAGGGAGCAGTCATATCCTTAAGAAATAATTTTGCAGCAAGGCGGCCCGAAGGACCCATTGTCTCTACAGCAAACGGCAAGCAAAAATATATATTTTTAAATTTAATATTTTCTTTGAGAAGCTAAATAATTTATTTCGTTTAGACAGACTGACAGATTAAATTTTGTATACCAAATATTAAAAAAATATATGAACATAAAAGTTAGTTTTTGCGATAGATTTTTCTCGACATAATACCAATTCCAACAGCTTAGGTGTATTAACATAATTTTTTATTATGAATTGCCAAAAAGCCAATCTCCGCCTTCTAAGCCCCAGTTAATCCATTTACATATTCCCCCCGAACTCTCGATAATGGGACTAGGAACGTTCACAAACAATTTTTGTTTAAAGTGAACGACGAAAGCATTAAGCGATTAATATTATGGAAGTGAATTTGTTGAATACTGTTCTTTATTAACGTAGGTTCTTAGAGAATGTTCATATTTACTAGGTTTGATAGATAGATAAACACTTTATTATAATACCAAATACATAATAGTAACCAACAATAAACTTAACCAAAGCGTGCATTTGGCGGTCTTATCGCTTAAAGAGAATTCTTCCAGACAACCGTGAGTATGTAGAGTTATACCAGAGACTGTAGTTTGGGGGTGTTATATTTCTTGGATTGAATAGTTACATCTTTACAAAAATCTATACATTAAACCTATGTTTTCCACTTTTAGGGTGAGGGGGTCAGGAAAATGTAAATGTAAATACCTCATAATGTGGCTCTGGCGTTCTCTACCAACCCGCATTGGGCCATCGTGGTGGGAGACGGTCCAAACACGTCCATCGATGGCAAGGCGCTGGGACCAGGGGTGCCAAGAATCCCCGAGTGGCGACTACCCTTCGTCATACGACCTTGGCCCTAGCTACTTATAATACACGCACATTGCTGACCAAGGAGAAGCTGCTAGAACTGGAGAAGAGATTGAGTAGGATACGTTGGTTAACTTAACTTGGTTAACTTATGCAGAATAAAATCTTGCCAGAGATAAATTTGCCCGATAAAATTCTACCATCTCAAAAGTATTAGAAGATTATTAAATGTTCATTCAAACACTGTGAATTCGGATAAATTAACATTGAGGCCAAACAATGATTATATTAAAAAAACTGCCTAAACAAATATTCGTTTAAATAAGATTATGCCGAATGAATTTCGGAGAAACAACATTTTGCCAATTAGAGGGAACCCTAGAACAGCATCTTGGCGCTCATAAGCATAAGTACTGCCAAGAGTCATCCTCCCGAAACGTTATTAAAACGTAAAAAATATTACTAGTTTAGAAATTATTATTATGGCGGATGTTATAATTTCCCCATGCTACCCAACGAAGGTAAACCCACTGTCGAGTATGGTCTCTCTTTATGGTCTCTCGCGTGGAGAGGCCTATACCCGACAATGACCCGGGCTTATGAAAAATAAGAAGTTGTGCTGGTGATACGAAAATCAATTTCATATTTTTTCACGTTCCCAAACTAATATTTACTACTCGTTTAAGGGTAGCTATACAAATAATCGGGCTGGCATTAATTAACACAGCCGGTTGGTAAAATCGAATATGTGTATATGAATGTTCGGCAGTAAGTATTACGGGTCGGCTTTGTTGTTCGACAAATGCTGCCGAACCAATTAGGCCGGCCCGATTATGTGTATCTACCCTTAAAGAGGTAGTAAATATCAGTTTGGAAACCAAGTGAAAATATATGAAATTGATTTTCGTATCACCAGCACAACTTTATCTTTTTCATAAGCCGGGGTTTACTAACACATTCAACACTAAGAATAAGAGTATTTTTTAATAGAATTTGTACCAAATGTTTTCTTTTCGTCTTTACTAATAAAAGTGATAAGGCTACATAGCCGATTAATTCTCTTTTAACTTAATTTTAACAGCGTGATTAACGTATGAAAATATAGTTTTCTTAATTAGTACAGTTTTCTTAGTCAGCTAGGCTCTCGACAGACGTACGGATGGATGTAGCGAAATATATGAACTATCTACTGTAATTTATTCACATTATGAGTGTAGATAAAGTCTTGTATGCAACTGTTTATAATTAGGCATTAAAACACTCATGTGATACTACATATATACTACTCGGCTTTGCCTCGTGTTATAAACCCAAATTCGTGTTTTAGTCAAAACACAGGAAAAATCGGGAACGCAACCGAATTCCGATGAAAGGCGTAATGAAATTCTGAAAGTTGTTTTGCAAGATCTCAGTTATGAGATAGTCCTTTATTAAATAATGCGCGTAATAGTCCGCTTTGTCCTATTGATATGCTTAGATTTGTCATGGCAGATTGACTATATATAAGCATTGAGCTTCGTTCTCACTACCTGTACGTAGGCCTAGGACAGGATAACCGAGACACAAATAAAACTTGGAACTAAAAACTAGCAAACAAACGATTGGTCGCCTGTGACCTAAATATTGATCACATTTTCGATTGCAAATTTGCTTAAAATATTCTCAAAATGTAGATTTTTTGCGTAATCGAAATTTAGTTACAAAAGTTTTTTGAACTTTACACCGAGCTAAATATCAAATGAGCTCCAAATATTTATTTCAAAGCTTGAAAATCTTACGAAAGTATCTCTTGAATATTCCCAAACGTTAAATCTTCAGTAGAAGATAGGCTTATTAGTTGATATATTACGAAGTATGTAATATATCGCACCTTTATTCCAATACTGTCATTAAACAAAATTCTTCAAAAAATAGTTTACAACGCCATCTTTTTGCTACGTTATGAATCTACACATTACTTCAAATCCTGTATTTTTAATTTTATTTTATGATAATGACAGTATTGGAATAAAGGTGCGATATATCAACTGTGTTGTACTTTTGAATATTTTTTTTAATTATCTTGTGTTTTGCGAGTCTCCGATATTTCGGCACTGTTGTATAAGCGCCATCATCCCGGAGTAACTGAAGTAATTGCGAGTAGGATGTTATTGACAGACATATCTGTGTACCCTCCGACTGTCCACGTTCTCACTCGCTAAAAACAGAGTACATGGTAGCCATCCCGTAAATAACATAAATAACTATAAATTAATATCTTTGTTCCAGAATCTTTGCTGCTCAGGATAGTAAGAGTTTCAGTGCCGACGTACAGGGTGAGAGGGCAACCAGCACAATTAGAATGCGACTACGAGCTAGACACAGACAAGCTATACTCCGTGAAATGGTACAGAGATAATGAAGAGTTCTATCGGTACATGCCGAAGTATGAACCACCGAAGCTCGCGTACAAACTCGAGGGAATCAAAGTCGACGTGAGTGTGTTTCATTTGCAACTTTATTCTATAAGTGCTAAGGTAGTGTTATGTAACGAATGGGAGTTCCTGTAATTCCGTGATATATCGCGGCTCATGCCATCGGCGGAGTTATTGTTGAAACTATTTTATGTACTCGATACAATGCAATTGGAGCATGCTTTGTATTATTTTTGATATATTTTATAAGTTTTGCATCTGCTAATTATTGCTAATAATTCAGTACATAAAAAGTGAATGAAAAAGAATAGTTGAGGCATTTGCTACCAACTTTTCCATTTTGTTTTTTGCATGGAGAATAACTCTGTATTTTTTTGTTATTCCTCATTTTGATGATAATTTTAAAAAGCACGTTATCTAGTAGCAGCTCACATGTCAAAGTCGAATATCGAAATCAGTTCAGCGTGATATACTTGTGTAATGTCAAATACATCCTGGCACTAATACGTTTTGGTTGGGTAATAGTCCAGTCACTGTAGGCTTAACTTTGCCATTTTGAGTTGATCACCTGCAACCAACGCGAAAATTTCCGCAAGGGTTCGTAGATTAATATACTAAAATTGCAGGGCGCTGCATTGACGGCAAAGGGTGAAAAAAAATATGAAATGGTGCAAAAACGAGTTTTTCGTCAATATCTCGCGACTGACTGGAAAAGTAGAAAAAGTTCCTAGTACAAAGTTGTACAAAATTTAATTTCCTACAAAAAAGGTATCAACATATTTTCCCGTATCTCCTATAGTTTTTGCACAAAATGCAATTAAAGGTGCAAAATAAAAAAAGAAAATATATTGTTAATGGTTTTTTCCCCATTTTTAAACGATCCTACGGGTCAAATTCAACAATCACCACTTACTGAAATATTTAAGGATGAGTTTTCGGCAGTCCACTGAAATGAAAATTGTCTACCGAAATGGTAAAAAAATTACCACCAAAATGATACAGCCAAGAACATCGCCTTTGTAGTAGAAGGGTTACCTATTTTGAATTTAAATAAATTTCCTTATTCTTTGTAAATATTTTTGTTCATTATTTTTTAATAAGTTACTCCTATTAATTATTATTACTAATTATAATTATTAATATGTACATTTTCAAAATAATGAACAAAGCGCGTTTAGAAAGCGAGAAGTTTATTAGTTAGTAAATACTCCCTTTAGTGCCAAAACCGATTATCTGCACTTTTCCGCTACTGAACTTTTATAATACCAATCGACCCGTCTCATTAAGCCGCATCTACAGGTAAAACCCATTATGCTCTACGACGCATACTTCGTGAAATAGCTAATGAATAAACAGAATAACTGCAAATTATTTCCAAAATTCTTGATTTAAAACCTAATAAACCCATTCAAAACACTTAAGTTTGTAAATGTATTACCGCTAAAACCAAGTTTCGGATTTAAACTCATTTTTCATATAGACACTTCGAGTAAATATTCTGTGAGTATCCTGTAATTGGCTTTGATTATTTGAATTTTACCAGATATTTTAATTTTACTAGATGAAGTAAAAATTAATAGATCTAAGTCGCTTTTTTCAAAAACAAATATATAGTATATTTGTGTAATATTTGAGGCAATTGAATAAGATACCGAATTTCAATTTGTTTTTACTTAATAACTTTTAATTAACGCTTTATAAATTACTTCAGCTAAAATCGATTATCGATGCTTACTCTTTTCTTCCACTATAATTTATTAGCGTTAGACATAGTTACTTTAAAATTTATGCTTCAGCTAAAATCAGCTATTCATGTTTAACCGTCTCTTCCGTACACAGATCGCGCGCTAGGTAGTGTTGCCGCCTTGGATTTTTTTAAGGCGCCAAGTCAAAGGTAAAATATCGCCAGATTTCAAAAATTTGGATTTAAATTTAAATATACACCAAAATCCGCTAAATTACAATTACATCTCTGATAACAAAAAACCCTTATTTAAATAAAAAACCAGTGAATATGTATGAGATGCTACAGACATAACTGTATCCCGTAGTCGTTCTAAATTAGTAAAATTTTGTTATTTAAAAAAAATGCCAATATTGTTTTTACCAACCTTAAACTTTTCCGAGCGTTACCTTAGTAGTACTAGAGAATGAAATAAAACCAGGTAAATATGTATTTACATTCATTATGTATCTATGTCATCAAAAAATAAATCTTTAATAAAATGTGAAATTTAAAATTCAATATTGTTAAATGTTACATCTTCTATAACTCCATCGTCGTTCACAGACGCCGACGCTTCTGTCAATGAAGCCAATGTCGAAGCTCAAGATATTTGGTTGTGGTTGTAGTTGATTTTTGAAAGAGTATTTTGTGTTTTTAAATGATATCTTTTGATTGCCGGATAGAATTTGCATTTTTTGTTTGTACTTTTTTGTTTCAGCATGTCTTCTCAAATTTACTACTCTTGCTAATAATTCTGCTTTACAAAATGAACAAAATGCCTTCGCATCAACACCTGCTAAAGGTTTATGCCAGGTTTGGAATTCGTCGAGTGATTTCCATTCTTTTCTATACTTTTGTATGTAATTATTTTTCTTGAATAGAATTTCCATAATAACATATAATTGAATACTCTAAACATACAAATTCAGGAGTTCACACACTGTGACAAACGTTTCTATCAAATCAAACTTTTTAACTTTTTAACAACACAATGAACGCGAACCTAATACCTGAAACAGAATGAACGATTGAAGGAAGCCCTTAACAGACAAACGCGTCTAGGAATTCCCCTGTAACCATAAGAGTAACCATAGAACATTATGAAAGTTCGGAAAGTTAGGGGATTTCCCCCTTAAAAACATGTTGCTGGATTTTATGTTAAAAACCACTAAAAACACTAAAAAAATATACCCGCTAGATAATAAAAATATACCACTAGAAGCCGTGAAAAAGCACCAGTTCTGGTGGAAAAACCACCAAGGTGGCAACACTGGTGCTAGGGAGTGAGTTGCTCACTTTTATTCATTCATTGTTGAATCGCGCGCTGGGCAACAATGTTATTTTTTTGTTTAATTAATCACTAATAAACATTACTGGGTGAACACCCAGTAATGTTTATTTATAGATATTACGTATTTGATAGATATTACGTATTTGATAGAAACGTTTGTCACAGTGTGTGAACTCCTGAATTTGTATGTTTAGAGTATTCAATTATATGTTATTATGGAAATTCTATTCAAGAAAAATAATTACATACAAAAGTATAGAAAAGAATGGAAATCACTCGACGAATTCCAAACCTGGCATAAACCTTTAGCAGGTGTTGATGCGAAGGCATTTTGTTCATTTTGTAAAGCAGAATTATTAGCAAGAGTAGTAAATTTGAGAAGACATGCTGAAACAAAAAAGTACAAACAAAAAATGCAAATTCTATCCGGCAATCAAAAGATATCATTTAAAAAACACAAAATACTCTTTCAAAAATCAACTGCAACCACAACCAAATATCTTGAGCTTTGACATTGGCTTCATTGACAGAAGCGTCGGCGTCTGTGAACGACGATGGAGTTATAGAAGATGTAACATTTAACAATATTGAATTTTAAATTTCACATTTTATTAAAGATTTGTTTTTTGATGACATAGATACATAATGAATGTAAATACATATTTACCTGGTTTTATTTCATTCTCTAGTAGTACTAAGGTAACGCTCGGAAAAGTTTAAGGTTGGTAAAAACAATATTGGCATTTTTTTTAAATAACAAAATTTTACTAATTTAGAACGACTACGGGATACGGTTATGTCTGTAGCATCTCATACATATTCACTGGTTTTTTATTTAAATAAGGGTTTTTTGTTATCAGAGATGTAATTGTAATTTAGCGGATTTTGGTTTATATTTAAATTTAAATCCAAATTTTTGAAATCTGGCGATATTTTACCTTTGACTTGGCGCCTTAAAAAAATCCAAGGCGGCAACACTACCTAGCGCGCGATCTGTGTACGGAAGAGACGGTTAAACATGAATAGCTGATTTTAGCTGAAGCATAAATTTTAAAGTAACTATGTCTAACGCTAATAATTTATAGTGGAAGAAAAGAGTAAGCATCGATAATCGATTTTAGCTGAAGTAATTTATAAAGCATTAATTAAAAGTTATTAAGTAAAAACAAATTGAAATTCGGTATCTTATTCAATTGCCTCAAATATTACACAAATATACTATATATTTGTTTTTGAAAAAAGCGACTTAGATCTATTAATTTTTACTTCATCTAGTAAAATTAAAATATCTGGTAAAATTCAAATAATCAAAGCCAATTACAGGATACTCACAGAATATTTACTCGAAGTGTCTATATGAAAAATGAGTTTAAATCCGAAACTTGGTTTTAGCGGTAATACATTTACAAACTTAAGTGTTTTGAATGGGTTTATTAGGTTTTAAATCAAGAATTTTGGAAATAATTTGCAGTTATTCTGTTTATTCATTAGCTATTTCACGAAGTATGCGTCGTAGAGCATAATGGGTTTTACCTGTAGATGCGGCTTAATGAGACGGGTCGATTGGTATTATAAAAGTTCAGTAGCGGAAAAGTGCAGATAATCGGTTTTGGCACTAAGGGGACGATTTACTAACTAATAAACTTCTCGCTTTCTAAACGCGCTTTGTTCATTATTTTGAAAATGTACATATTAATAATTATAATTAGTAATAATAATTAATAGGAGTAACTTATTAAAAAATAATGAACAAAAATATTTACAAAGAATAAGGAAATTTATTTAAATTCAAAATAGGTAACCCTTCTACTACAAAGGCGATGTTCTTGGCTGTATCATTTTGGTGGTAATTTTTTTACCATTTCAGTAGACAATTTTCATTTCAGTGGACTGCCGAAAACTCATCCTTAAATATTTCAGTAAGTGGTGATTGTTGAATTTGACCCGTAGGATCGTTTAAAAATGGGGAAAAAACCATTAACAATATATTTTCTTTTTTTATTTTGCACCTTTAATTGCATTTTGTGCAAAAACTATAGGAGATACGGGAAAATATGTAGATACCTTTTTTGTAGGAAATTAAATTTTGTACAACTTTGTACTAGGATTTTTTTCTATTTTTCCAGCCAGTCGCGAGATATTGAGGAAAAACTCGTTTTTGCACCATTTCGCATTTTTTTTTCACCCTTTGCCGTCAATGCAGCACCCTGCAATTTTAGTATATTAATCTACGAACCTTTGCGGAAATTTTCGCGTTGGTTGCAGGTGATCAACTCAAAATGGCAAAGTTAAGCCTTCATTGACTGGACTATAATGTTTTCTTTGGAAATCTTTTCGTTCCTTTATTGTCTATGGGAATGTACGCCCAAACTTATTCTTACTTAAGTTCTTGTTCTGAGTCCGAGTATGAACGAACCGGTGTACCGAGAGGGGACGTGTGCAAGAAAGACATGCTGTATAGCAACGACGTCAAGAGAAAAGACAAGGTGTATGAAGAGGCTTTTGTGATTTGATTTCTGGTTCCTACATACATTGTCACACAATAAATTTCCTAGGTACCATATTTTTTTCTGTATATATCAGTCTCATCACATAGATAGGCACGCTGAAATTAGATTCACTGACAAATAGGTACGTTCTATGTTTAGCCAAAAATAACTTTACTTCTAAGCAGAACTTATAGGTGGAGAGAATGTCGATGTGGCGATTGCCCACAAGAGTAATATAATTACCTAAATAAAATTTTTGAAGACAAAGTTTTACTTGGCCCGCTCTAAAGATTTACGACGATAACGTCATAGATCGCTGGAGGCGTCAAGAAAAAGATGTGACGTGGGCGACGACGGCGCTCAGAATGTAATAATAATAACTCACGTGTACCTTAAAAAGTCGTTGGATTTAAACGCAACAAACTGTATTTGATCTATTCTTTTTTTAAACATTATTTTAGCTAAGGTTGTAGATGAAGGTAATATGCCCTTTTGTATTTTTATAGCATTTATTGTACCATTTCCTATGTTAAGTGTGTAGTTCGGACAAAACATGCAGCGTTTAATATAGACATCCTACTGCAGTAGGGGCTTAACCTTTGGGGCGTTTAAAATCAAAAAGTGTTCCGCTGCTCGATCCTCAGACTGCAATGACTATTTTAACTTGTTCTTTACTTTTTAGTTTTTTTTTATGTTCAAAAACACCTACATAAAGAAAGGAGACTAACTTCTGGCAACCCCTATCTAATGTATTCTCATGGCAGCGCGCCTTTGATACTCAGCTTGCCCCACATAGGTTATAAATATCGATGTAAGCTGAACTAAATAATGCAGTTACTTTGTTAACAAAGCTACTGTATTGCTAATGCAGTCTACTATTGCGGGCAGAGGAGAGTATATATAGATAATTGATAATACAATAGTTCGGTTGGCACTGTACTGGATTGCTGAGAGCTCGTATGAATTGTCCGCCTTCCTATTCGCATTCTACCGCGCCAGATCTTTTGTTGATATCTCTCGAACGTTATCCTCTATTGTGTACGGGATTGATAAACAAAAAGTAAGACTACCTTAACCTAATTTTTTATAGGTTGTAGAAAGAAAAAAATCGTCGATACCATATTTAGTAAGCTTTAGAATTGCGTGTTTACAATAATTTTGCTCGGCATAGTTTTATTTTTTAAAAGTCACTATGTTCATAAACTTTAATAATTAACAAAGTTGCAATATTATTTTAAGAATAATTCTGGTATGATTCTCTAAACCTAAAATTAAATTAGACAATAGTGTATCATTGTCGTTATCTAGACAGAATTAAAACAGAGACAGAGAGACAGATGTTTTTAGTTTTAAATTTATAAAATCATGCCAAAATCGACACCAATGAAAGAATATTTTGTTCTTTTTGATAAAAAGTCATTTTCATTTAGCGTCTTTTATTTTATATACCATATTCGATTCGAAACAGTGCGTTAAGAATAACACTTTTCAGTTTAAAAATCTAAATTACGCCCTCTACACCTCACACATCACACCCCCACACTTCACAGATCCACGCTGTATCCCTATTTTTTTCAAATATTTTGTTCTTGTAAATATATATGCTATAATTTTTTCCTGTCGTTCTCTTTTCTTTTTTTTCTCTAATGTATTTATTTAGCCTTGGCCACAACTAGGCATCGATGGACTTACGTATGTGTGCCTTGGCTTCGCCGCGGTCCGCATTTACACATTCGTATCAATCAATGCTTCTTTCGCTGACCGTTGCAGTAATGTACTATTGGTTAAGAGTAATTAAAGGTATAAACAGTAAACTAGAAATAAATTAATAGGGGAATCAAGCACATTTTTGTATTGCCGTCAGCGGGTATTTTCAACGATGTAACTATTATATCGATATAAATAAAAGAATATGCTTCGTGTAACTATATTTTAATTTAATGGACTGTTTTCGAACGACTTAGAACTGAACTGAACTGTGCTTAATGATACTTTGTGATGTAAATGTGTTATTTATTTGTTAATTTCTGTAAGATACGTACCTACTTATTGACTTCTTGAAAAAAAAAATTTTTTTTTATTTTATTATATAGCTACAGAAATCAGATGATAGAAGAGTGGTGCTTCATCCAGTGATGCTGAAGTCAACGGGTCTCTATAGGTGCGAAGTCTCCGCGGAAGCCCCAAGCTTTGCTTCGGCTGCTGGAGAGGGGAAAATGGAAGTTATTTGTAAGTAGAAATCCAAAGACAGCTTTGAATTGAATGTCGTTTGTTATTGATTGAAGCCGGCTTTTCATTACGGGATGTAATATATATCAACAATGGAAAAGCAAAATCGCTTAAACGCCACTTTAGTAACTTTACAGAAACAAGGATCTATTTTTTTTTCACAAAGAAAATCATAACTCATTGTAAATGAGAACGCTTGCCATACATATACAAACGTATTCATAAAATAATATATTCTAAATATCTTCCTATATTAAATTACATAGTACCATTACTTTACAAAAATTAGATATCGCTTAAGCGAAAATCATTCGGCTCGCCATACATTTTTTGCTAAGCAAACATCAAATCATACGCCAAATAGTAGGGCGAAAAACCTTCATGACCCTGGTGGCGATGGGTTTGATTTGATTGCGAAACACCAAAAATGAGTTGAGTATTACCATTAAGTAAATCTATAGGAGATCTAAACTAACCTCTTTTGCTCTGTTGGAGTGGTAATGGGCGAGTAGGTAGCGAGAATACCAGATAGTCTTTGGGGCGGAAAGGTTCTTAAATGGCGATCAAACACCGGACGACGATCAGTAGGCAGGCTCCCCACAAGGTGGACCACTGATCAAATGAAGGCCTGGGAAGCCAATGGATGCGAGTGGCAAAGGACCTGTGTGGAGATCCTTTGAGGAGGCCTATACTCAGCAGTGGGTGCCATACGGCTGACATGATGATGATGCCCACCAAAGAAATATAGCTCATTGATGACGTTTTTAAACCATACAATGGGATGTTTGTCTTGAAAAGTATTATGAACTTCAGGCCAATCCTAGATTATATTCTTTATTTTTTAAGTTTTTCGGTGTTTATCTTCGATTTTTAGAAGGTCTTTCTTCAGTATCCATGACGGAAGTCTTGAAGGTGAGAATTGAGGATAGTAATAATGTTTCTTTGGAAAGTACTCAGAGTGTATTTATCTACTCATCCTAATTCTTTGTTAGCAGTGCCGTTAGAATCAACGCGAGGTCGAAGAATGTATTTTATGTCTACAATTGTCAAATTTTATATATTTTACAATGGAATACGTAGGAGGAAATCAAAATAACTAGAATTATATATTTTTTATACAATCCTCTATAATATTTATTACATTTCCTTGGGCCTACTTATCCGGGTATTAAGACATATAGTAGTAGTAAGTTTTTAATTGTACCGTTCTGAATATAGGATTACAGGGACAGTAGATTTATCTAGGTTAATTATGCCGTTTTATCACAGGATTCAGATAAGAGTTTATAGCAGCAAGAAAAGAAGAGGGTTTAACATGGTTTTATTATAAAGCTCAAAGAAAAGTTATTCCTTACTACATAAAGTTACACTACGATATAAAGTTTACACTTTGTTATTATCAAAAATAACAAGGTTGTAAAAAAAAATGATTCTAAAACTACTAGTACTACTACATTTTGATAAAGATCTTGTAGCGATTTCAATTATGAAATAGTATCAGTTAATAATGAAAATTGCACGAGGTTAATTTCAGTTATTTAAGCATAACACCTCACTATTATGCTTACTATTCCGAATTGATTCTAAGAAATTTATTTATTATTCAATAAATTAAAACCACTAATTTGATCGTTTCGACTTTGCTATAGGAGATCTTTGTTCATTAGTGGGTGTTAGCTGTAGCTAAGATAATTGTCTTAGCTATAAGCAATGAAGAATATAAGCAATGAAATACTACCACCGCGTTAAAACCATTTTTTATTAAATATTTTTGTTATTTTTATACACAAGTAAATTCACTCTCTCAATGCGCACATAAAGTTCAGAAAGTATGAACACTTTAAATCCCCTGAAAATGAAACTCTATTTTTGTCTATTTGCTCCCAAATATACAGGGCGACCGTCCTCTATCCAATATATTTGAAGATCCTATATCCCTTATCAATGTATTGCTATCGGGGATCCGAAGATCTTTGTTCTTGACTGAATTCTAATGTGCTATGGAATCCGTGCGGATAATGTCCTTAATAAGGAAGCGAGATTGGAGATTTCGGTGATTTCGTCATCCAAATACTATCAAGTACCTACTGGAAAAAATGTATTTTCGGTATAAAATATTGAAAGACATCCTATATACGTAAATTTTTGCAACAAAGCCTATATAATATATTCTCATAACAAGCGATTGTTAGACATAAAACTCCAAATACCACCTGCACGGTGATGAAAGTTAATTCGATATAAAAGAATGAAAAAACGAAATAGTTGAATCAGTTTAGCCCCGCGTAAGGCTGCCTGTTCACTGAACTGGAGCGACGCTGCCGAGCGGAGAAACGGAGAAATATTAATCAATAAGATTGCACAAAATCTATCTTCTGAAGAGGAGCGGAGAATTTGTGCAATCCTATTGGTAAATATTTCTCCGTTTCTCCGCTCCGTAGCCTCGCTCCGCTCCAGTGGACGAGCAGCCTTAATCGCTCTTAAAATAAAGCAGCTTGTAAGGACGAGCGTGTTTTATTTGACTGAAGTGAAGGAACTTTAGTAATGGCTAGTCGCAGGATGGATGACCCAAAAATTCCGTGCGTTCATACTTTGGAAGGCGTTTTAAAGAGTTTATTGCGGCTGCATATGCAGTTGATACACCCACCAATCTGCACTAGACACGCGTGAACAAGTGAAAGTCGAGCTCAGCAATTAGAACACTAATAGGCTGATAATAATGAATCATCGATCGTAAGAAAAGAATAACTTCATAACTCAAAAACGCTTAAAAGCCGGATTATTGTAATTTTCTTTACATTAAATTACTTGAATGCTGAAATGAAAATATAAGTAAATAGTGGACTCGACAAACTTTGCACTGATCGATAAAAATATGAAGAAAAAAAAAACTTAAACCTCACTGCACTTCTTATTTTTTTGTTAAAGGGCTAGCGTTTGGTCCGCCTAACGCAATCGGCTACCAGAGCCTTTTTACGCTTGTGATACCAAAAATATTATTCGCGTCTTTGTCTACCTCAGGGTAGGTCAGCCTAATATCACCGACAGAAACGCAACACCACCAAAGGGTAGTGTTATTTTACTTTAAGGTTAAGGTTATTTCCCCAGATGGGCGCTCCTCGCGTTTTTCCCGTAAGAACCTTCTAAAAAGTATAACAAAACTTTAAAATAAAAGATGAATAAAATCGTCAAAGTCGGTCTTGAGTAATGGCGTACCCAAGAGATATTGACTTTTATAAAGATGTTATGGAATGATTATTTTGAAACCATTTCGTTTTGTGCAGATCTTCCAAAAGAGGGTCCCAGAATAACCGGCAATGAGCAAGAGAACAGACGGGGTGACTCAATGTTCCTGAACTGCACGTCGGGTCGGTCTTACCCCGCGGCGGTACTCAGTTGGGACATCGATGGAGAAAAGGTTAGAATATTAAAATGGGATACTTACTTGATTTAACGGAAAATATTGTTATTTTACGGAATAAATTCACTGTAATAATTTCCTACACTAATTAAACAATACAATAAAATAATATATTAAAAAGATACATAAGAACCATAAATTAGCGACTGTCGTACGAATCCAGGGTGTTTGATATCAAATTGGGATTCAAGATATTTTTGAAGTGAAAACTTCTTTAGAGGCGTTGTACACTTTTTTTGTAATGGGTAAAAACTGTTAAACTCGCGTCAGGACACGTGGCCTGATCGCGTCAGTCCTGACGTCCTGATTAGGTCACGTGTCCACGTGACCTAACCGAAAATTCGTACGACGAAAACAACAAAATTGGAAAGTGTTGACTTTCAATATATTGGACGAAACATAGTAATATTTTATTTTATCGTATTATAATATTAAGTCTCTAATTAGGACGTCCAGGTGGCAGCTTTATTGCGAAGAAAGTGCATTTTTTTACAATAGTCGCTAGGTGCGCTTAAATGTGATTCATGTAAGTTGATTTTTCTGAGAGATAAACTTTTTAATGTAATATAAATTGTCGTGTTTGTGTACGATAGCGCAATAAATAAATATTGTATTCTACCACATAAATGAAAGTACTTTTATATTGATAATTAAAGCAATTCGTGCAAAATTATTACCTAACTATTCCTAAATATCAAAATTGCACAACGTTAATATTCAAGTGCTCACTTCTGCCGGCACTCCCGGAGTGCAACCCGTTGTTTTTTTATTTCTATTCCCCTGAGCCGAACGCAAAAAAATAGTTTTTTTTTGAAGTTATACTTCTTTAGGCGCGTTATGAAAAAATGATGAGAGTGAAATTTTAAGATGCGCGCGTATCACTGTAACACAAAATTTTAACAGCATGAAGTTGGCCGCTTTAGCGACCAACTTCATGCGTTACTTTTGTGTTTACCGCACATTAAGAAAATCTACCAACAAAATAGAAATAGAATCTCTATTTAGTGGGTGCTAACGACTGCATTGTGAAGGCCTATCAAAAGTATTTATTAATCTGGAACAACGGAACCAAAGCGCGATTCAGGAGACTACAGCGCCATCTCTTGACCATTGGTGTAGTAGAACCAAAAACCACATCTTTATTTTTTGTAATAAAGTAACAGTTATAGGTATTCATATTTATAATATTTATCCACATGTTTCTAGTTTGTATATTCGGAATACGTGTTTGAGGTTCATACAAGTGCAAATCACATATGTTCTAATAATTTATATTCAGTAGCGATTTTAATTGAATATTTTGATTATTTATTTATTTTTTCAAATTAAAACTGAACTTTATTAACTGTGTCCTTTTCCAGACTTTTTATTAATTTATTGTAATTAATTATTTGCATGCAATTAAAAACTAATTTTAAACGATGCCAAAGAAGGATAACTTCTCACGCGCCTACATAAGTACACGCACCCATTTTTTTTACTTTTTTTACCCCTGGAGATCCCGTGTCCGTGGAATTAACTGAACAGAAGTTGTACTTATTCTTCTACAATTTTAAACATTGAAGATTTCGTTTTGAAAATCAGTTAAGTGGTTTACGAAACAGGATTTGACACTCGTAGTCTCATTCACGTAGAATTATTATTGAGAAAAATGTTTTTTTTTAAATGGGTCAAAATGAATCAGTCAATGTATCCTTTCCTCTCGTTATATTCTCATAATGATATAGCGTATAGAATAGATATAGAAATATAGATATAGAATAAGAAATAGACATATATTCGGAAAACTAAGACTGCTCCAACATTTTGCTCAGTTGTTATTCAAATGTCAAATTATGAAGTATAAGCTATTAGAGTATTTAATTAATAACAAATCAGAGCAAATCAGCTGAAAAATCGTCCAATATCTAAAATCTACTTGGTCAGGAGCAAGGCCACCCTGATTTTTCAGCTAAGCAAAATGTTTCTAAGTTAATAAGTCGAGTATATTCAATCTATTTAGCCATATGCATGGCCATCCTGATTTTTCTGTTTAGCTAAAAGTTTATTTTAGGCATATTGGTTCATCTTTCATTCATCTTTTTATCCCGGAATTCCCAAGGGAACGGACACTTTGCGGGCAAAACCGCGGGGCACAGTTAGTAATTACATATTAGAGCAAATTTACTGAATATATTTTATAAATAACTTGCTATCTTTAACTCTCGCCGTAGAGATCGAATTTAAAAAAAAATATGAAACACGTTTTTTTACATTTCAGTTTAGTTTATCTTAGCCGAATTTCAAAGCTGTCAAGTTAGCCAAACTCTTTTTCCCGTTTAAATTTTGAACCCTAAATCATCTTAATAATATAATAAATAAATATTTAAAAAACCCTTTCTTGCTCGATGCCTACGTCATTTAAACAACTTTTTGACTAAATATCATGTCTCTACGACCAAAAGTGTAGGCGTGCGTTAAGGCACTATTTAATATGCTATATCTTTGTTTTATGAAGGTATGTTTTTAAATTAAAACTCATATCATTTTTATTTTTACAGAGCAGGTGTGCAAAATTTTTATCAATCCTGTTTTGCACACTACACAATGCACTTTGGATGATCTTCGACACAAACTTTGACACATAATTTTGTAATTCTTTGAGGAGAGTTGTAAAATTTTTATCATGTATTGTAACAGGCTGCTAACAAATAGATGTACACTACTATTTAATAATGTTTATGCAAAATTTGCAGTCAATAGGTCTAAGGGATAACATTTTATGAACAAATATTTTTTGCAAATTTTACGCTTAAGAGACTGAATTTCAAAAAAATAGGTTTCTTACCTGTCTTGGCAATAAGAGGAACCTACTGTCCAAATTTCATCATTCTAGGTCCAGCTGTTTTGGCTGTGCGGTGATGAGACAGTCAGTCAGTCTGTCAGTGTATCCTTTTCTCTCTTTGTATAATAGTATAGATAAAAAATCTGTTTTAGTATTCAAGATCAGTTTGAGCATCTTTAACAATATCATTGATAGTGGGGCAGAAAAAAAAACACACGTGTCGTCGGCAAACACTGTAAAGTGTCCAGATAAACCAATATTACAAATGTTGTTTAGATAAATGAAATAAAATAAAGGGCCTATTATGGAACCATGAGGTATTATATTATATTCAATTTGTAAATTAGTTTCTCATGGATAATCGTGTCTAAAGCCTTTTCTAGGTCAATAACAATTGCCTTGTGCAATTTTTTGTCATCGATATTTGATTTAATCTTTGTTATTAGGTCTGCTGTAGTCGAGACTATTAGATTTTGGTAAATAGTCATATCGTTGTTCGATAAAAAAGCCCTTTTGTTCAAGTTAGGTAGGTTCTTTCAATTGTCTAAAGTACAATAATATGAGTACATTTTTCACCGGTTTTAAGGGAATAATGTTTACAATTGGCTTTTATTCTTTTCGCAACTGTGTAATGAAGTTAACTGACAGGAACCAGAATGCATACTACATAACAATGGAAGTAACAATATACCACACAGAAAATATGTAATATTTGACAAATTGACATCCAATTGTATTTGTAAGCCATTTGTATCTTTCGAACAAAGGTAGTCAATTTCCTCGCCAGAGCAAATATTTGTGCTGGCATATTATGGCGACAACAACGTATTGAAAGACTATACATAACTGCTTATAAGACTTTCTTTTAAGTGATTTCTGCTTAATCTGGTGCTATTGGATCCGCTTTTTTTAAACAAAAATGCTCTACACTCTACATTTTACGGATTAATCATTTACTATTATATTTCTCAAATTATTATCATTTTTTATTAATGTTGAATGATTAGAATACATACTACATTTTTGCAGAATTAGAATCAGGAAAAGAATTTCTGTCTGTCTACTGTTACAATTTCAGTCCTAAGCCGATCTTTGTGAATTGTGATGCGATTTCAGTGATTTAAAAATTATAGTCTGTCTGTATGTTACTAAACTTAAGTACACAAATCAATATCAGAGTCTGTAGTACGTTAGCAGATATTGTACAATTACTTACTTTTTAATAAAGGCGTTTCTGCACAGGTGACAGATCCAGACCTACTGGTGGAATATCCACCAATCCAGCACGCCCATGGCCTGCTTTCAGTAGCACTGGGTCTCAGAGTACCTGTAGGGCGGACGATGCAAGTGCGATGCACTGCGAGGGTGGCGCCAGCATGGCGGGAGGGTAGCGAGGCTGTAGTCGGCAGCAGCCATCTAGCTGACAGCAAAGAGGCCATGCTTCTAGGTAAATAGCTGCAGCATGACGAAGTACGAACCAGTGTGATTTACTCTCAGTAACCCTGTGTGTCAGAGTACCCGTGGGGTAGATAATGCAAGTGATGCACTGTTAGGGGGTGCCAGTATGGTGGGAGGGTAGTGAAGCTGTAGTCGTCAGCAGCCATCTATGTGACAGCAAAGAAGTCATGCATCTAGGTAAGGAGTTGCAGCATAACGAACGTACGAACCAGCATGATATGCTCTCAGTAGCCCTGGGTCTCAAGGTGCCCGTGGGGCAGAAGACGCAAGTAAGATGCACTACGAGGGTAGCATCAGCATGGCGGGAGGGTAGCGAGGTTGTAGTCGGCAGCAGCCATCTGGCTGACACCAAAGACGTCATGCTTCTTGGTAAGATGTTGTATATGATCAGCTGAAAGAACCAATATGACCACGTATACCTTTTAGATGGTGATAGTGGATAGATAAGTACCATTGTGATAAAAATAAATGTATTGAAGCCGAATTTAAATACAGAAAAATAGGTTGTAGATTATTCTTTGCATGACTGTTTCAAATGTGCGCGCTTTGCATAATTAATCCACATAATTAACATGTATTAATAAAAATAAGAAATATGACGTGCAACCTCGAAATATGTCGCTATGTCAGATAAGTACCTTTAAAAGCGTTGTGAGACCCAATAGCGTTGTGAGACACTACAACATTTCTTTAATGTACTTTCAAACGTTGTTAAAGGAGTTTTTTATTGTATTTATCCTTTTTCTTCAAACTAATTATATGAACTTGGTAATGGTGTAACTTAATGACGTAGCGCGCCGGGAGGGTTGGGTCTGCAATAGCGGATGTGAGCAACTTTCTCAAAGTGCGGTTATTGGCCGGGTGAGATCTTTCTTCTTCTTCAAGTATTCCGCATTTTGCTACTCTTGATACACGAGTAAACCTATCAATCTCCAAATAAAATAGTATTCAATCATTACATGCCTCAAAAAGTGGCAGTTACCAGATAGCTATTATAATCTTTCGTATTATTAAAGCAGTATTAACCTTTTGTATCAGACAACTCCTATATTATTTATTTCGTTTCCAAGCCCGCATGGTAGTCAATAACATTTTTAAAATATATATGTGTGTTATATGTAACAACATTAAATCAGATTGTGTTTTGTTTAATTTAGTGGTTTCTTTAGAAATGAATGTTACATCAAAATAATACCCTTTTATATACGGGTACAATGATATCTGTTATGTTTATAATTAAACCGATTTTAGGACACGTCATTCCGAATCACTTTATGGAAATTGTACAAAAATACCGTTTTTAAAAAATTGTTAATGAAAACCAATTTGGTTAAATGTCAAATACATGTGATCATCTTTTGGCGATATTAGAGTTGCTTCTCTGTAATCGTGTTCCGTATTTTGCCTGAAAATTACTATGAAGTTTCGTATTCATGAAAATAAGCACAGAATGTTTTAATCTGAGTAGGCATCTTGATTATAAAACTAAGTGTATTGGTCTTCAAAGCTTATTAAAATAACAAATACACATTCAGTGTCATTCTAGATCGAAACTGTTTCATAATTTAACACTTGCAGATAGGTATACAATATAGATAGATACAGATGAGCTTGGTTACTATGGACACATATATAAATTAAACACATACCATATTTAAAATCAAAATAATATCTCTCATCTAGAGCCACATTGTAATTTTTTAGCATTTCAACATGACTTTAACCGAAGTAAAATTTGATACCTAATTCGCACGACAAAAGTTTATAACACTGCTCGTGGAATTTAATACGTCTCCATACGTCACAAACGAAATAATATGCGTAGCATTGCTTCTCTCCCATTTAAGGTCGAACAAGTGGGGGAAAATCTCAATTTATACCAAACAATAAGAAATTTAAACGCGCAAAGGCGCAATTTCAAAACGGAATTATATTTCGAACGTTCATTAACCTAATAATATCTCTACAGTACCTATTCTTTATAAGCACAATCGTTTCATAATATATATATATATATATGTGTGTGTATACTGTATATATATATATACACGTTATTTAAAGCTTTTTCTATGCTGTTTTGAGAGGAGAAAAATATGGAAAGTTCTACAGTTAACAATGAGATAAAATTACACTATTACGGGGTTGTCATATTTCATTAGCCTATCTACGTTACTGAATTCCATCAAATAGAATTAGAGTATTGGGTCTATTTTATTAAAAAGATACTATAATACGAATTATTTTAAGCTTTATCTATACATATAAATAAAATAGGAGTGATCAAAATAATTCTCGAAGTATTCTAATTCTTACCCCTTATGTACCAAGCTCTATTGAAATAACGCTAGTCATGCACACCGTGAACTGCATTATAATTTGCTGTCTTACCACCTTGAAAGGCTGCGGTTTGAAACTGTTGGCTCGTTAACAACTAAACTGTCAGCGTCAAGACGTTCTTGAAGTTTCGTTCCAGCAAATATTGCGAGTAAAGATTACTTTATATGTATACAATTTCATGGCACGACTGATTTGTGAAAAGCGGAATATTTTTAAGGTCTGTTATTTCCATTTGTAAGTAGAATTGTGTCTGACAATAATGAAGGTTCATTTTCAGAGCTATTATTTTCATTATTATATACAACATGTATGTCTGATAATAACGAAATTACTTTCCTATATTGAAAAATAAAAAATAAACTATTTTATTTTAATTTTTCAGCATTTAACTGCTAGATGTTTAACAAAATCTTTAGATATAAATAGACACTATTTTGTTATTTTTGTCACTTTAGATTTTATTTAGTAAAGGACCTCAAGAACCGTCTTAAGTGTCTACCCATTACGGTATATCATCTGTCCTGCTTATATATTCTAGGAGGCTGTTGGCGAAAGACATTGTGCCTGGCCGTCTTATATGTTTTTAAATTTAAAAGTTATTTTTCATTTTATTTATTATTATTGTTTAACTTGTCATGGTGTTTCTTTTTAAGTAAAAAAGTATTTTATTTATATTACGCCCAGTGTCATCCCTAACAGAGCCAATAAAAAAGTTTTAACCGACTGGTTTATGTTCAATTCAAAGTGTCAACTTCTCGGTCTCGCACATAATGACCAGTCGTTGTTAAAGTTGTCTTTCTTTCCAAATCGTCCGAGAAACACGCTAACTAATCAACACAACTATTCACTATAGACAGAAACGCGAAGCCCTTTGAGGTATGGAACCTCTCAACGCGATAAGTAATATAATTTCCCAATACGACTATTAACATAATTTGGTAGACGCCGTAGTCTTGGAGATTAGAATAACTCAATAGATAGGGATACTTTGGACCATTAACTAATACTACCTGTCTGTTAGTTATCTCTCGTACTTACGTCCAATGATGATATTGTATGAGCAACACGTGCCCAAGTGTAAGTAAATCTGGCTAACTAAATAAACTTGCTCAGTCCAATCACTATGCAAATTATTCTCTATCTCTTTCTGTTTGTACAATTGGCAGGGGAGAAAGTACTTTACCCGTTCGTTTGCAATACGTTCGTCCAGAAGATGTTTACCGAATAAAGTAGTGTTACACTTGCGGTTTCAACTATCGTAGTTTTAGGGTCCTCTCGAAATTTACAACTTTCAAACTAGAAATGTTTACGGCCAGCTAAGATAGATTTTAGTTACGTTTATCCTAAAATGAGTTTTGTTTTATGTTAAAAGGGGGCAAACTAGCTTATGGCTCGGCTGATGGTAAGCGGCCACCATGACCTATAGATACTTGCGATACCAAAAATATCACTCGTACTGTTGCATACCCTGACCCAATCCCCTACCCCGTGGAGTCCTGGAACTTACTCACCGACAGAAACACAACACCACCAAAAGGTAGTGTTATTTTTCTGAGGTCTTCTGTAAGTTCGAGATTACTTCCCCAAATGGGCGCTCTAATTTGAGCGGAAAACCCAGTATGACCATCTTAAAATTTGTTCATTGTCATAAAGAATAAACCTTTGAAGACTTGTATTAAACAAAAATGAACATGCAAACTCGGCTTGGAATTTGTGGAATTTAAGTTAGATAAAGGTTCGTGATTCAAGGAGTCCTTTATAAATGTTTTTCCTTGATTCTCTTCTCAAGCTTTTGTCGGAAATTTCTTGTTTACTTGTAGGTGTTGGAATTTGACTCGATTGATTTTTCTGATATAACTAAATTAATGTAGCGAAGTAAAGCTAAAAAAGAAATAATATTTTTACCGGGAACACTGTTTTGTTTTGTGAAAATAAAATATTTATATCTATGTGAGTATACTTTCAAAGACTATAAGGATAATACACCTTTATTCTGGCAATTTTTAGTCTAAGACGTGAACTCTGCTGAGTGTAACTTAATTTTTTATTACAACTCTCATTTATATAATTTCGGCGGTAAAGATAGCTGAAAAAGTGGACTCAATATTATTTATTATAGCTTATTAATATTTCCATATCCCCACAGCTTTTGTCATATTATGAAAGTTGCTTCACTTCCACAATCGCAGGACGACCGCGCTAACCATCTGCGCCGTTGAGCTCCTTTAATATTATTAAATATTATTTAGTAAAATATAAATACTGCTGTTCACATAAAATCTACTTTATGCTTTAGTATGAGCGTATAGATAGAAGCCCAAAATTGTTTATCCTCCGGGAAGTATTGCTCCAAGGGTCAGAATGTTCAAGGTGACATACCTAATATTCGGATGTTATAAAGACCGTTATTCAATATTTACAAGTCTCTGAATGTCCAAGAAGTCATAATGTCCAGATGTTATTAAGACCGTTAGTCAATATGTACAAGTCTCTGAATGTCCAAGAAGTCATAATGTCCAGATGTTTTAAAGACCGTTAGTCAATATGTACAAGTCTCTGTATGTCCAAGAAGTCATAATGTCCAGATGTTTTAAAGACCGTTAGTCAATATGTACAAGTCTCTGAATGACCAAGAAGTCATAATGTCCAGATGTTATTAAAACCGTTAGTCAATATGTACAAGTCTCTAAATGTCCAAGAAATCATAATGACCAGATGTTATTAAGACCGTTAGTCAATATGTACAAGTCTCTGAATGACCAAGAAGTCATAATATCCAGATGTTATTAAAACCGTTAGTCAATATGTACAAGTCTCTAAATGTCCAAGAAATCATAATGACCAGATGTTATAAAGACCGTTAGTCAATATGTACAAGTCTCTTAATTTTATAGCTATTAACGGGATTGTTACCATGCACCTTGTTTTTTATGAGTCTCCGATATTTTGGCACTGTTGCAAGCGCCATGATAACGGAGTAACTGAAGTAATTGCGGGTAGATGTTATTGGCAGACATATCGGTCTACCCTCTGACGTCGTCTTTTACTACGCTCTATACTCCCCTACCACTGGTCACATTCTCACTATTCACTCGCACCTGTTCCTGACACACAATACTCACAGTATCAGATCGCGGAACGACACTTTTTTGATTTTTACGGTTTTTGCACATACGAACCACTGGATTCCAGACACTTGACAATTTAAACCCATCCTCACGATTGAAATTTTTGTGTTTGGTTATTTCAATCGCTTCCCTGACTAATCTTGGTATGTAGTGGCGTTCTGTCGAGATGATTTGTGGATTATGGAGCTCAATCCAGTGATCAGGACCCGAATCGATTAAATGTTCAGCGATAGCTGATTTCTGCGTATCATTGTTTCTGACTGCTTTTATGTGTTTTTTCATTCGGCACGCTATTGTCCGCTTCGTTTGGCCAATATATGAACTATCACAGCTACAGTCGATCTTATATACACCAGGTTTCTCTAAAGGGAAGTTGTCTTTGGGAGATCGTAGAAACTGTGACACTTTTTGTAAAGGAGCGAAGACAGTATTCAGTGAATACTTATTAAGTATGTTCGAGATCTTGTCTGTCACTCCTTTGATATATCGCAAAAATACTGGTTGCCTGCTTACTATGTGTGTCTGGTGTCCTAATTTGTGTTTGGGTGGAAACTGTCCCTTGTAGCCATTATTCTGTAGGACCCGCCGTACATACTCCAACTCTTCGTGCAGGTGTTCCTTGTCACACAAGTCATATGCACGGTTCGTCAGTGAAGTCACTACAGAGTTTAGATGTCTCGGGTGGTGATGCGAGGAGGCGTTGAGATAACGGTCTGCGTGTGTGAGTTTGCGGTGAATGGAATGACTCAGCGAACCATCATTCCGCACCCGAATCTTTACGTCAAGAAATGCCAGACTTCGGTCTTCTTCCATCTCATATGTGAAATGCATTTTGGTATGGACTCCATTTAAATTTGCCAAATGAGCCTCGACATCTTCTTTGTTTCCTCTCAATATACAATCATGGCGCTTGCAACAGTGCCGAAATATCGGAGACCCATAAAAAACAAGGTACATGGTAACAATCCCGTTAATAGCTATAATGTTAGTGACCATGAAAGTTTAAAACAATAAGTCTCTTAATATCCAAGAAGTCATAATGTCCAGATGCTATAAAGACCGTTGGTCAAAATGTATAAGTCTCTGAATGTCCAAGAAGTCATAATGTCCAGATGCTATAAAGACTGTTAGTCAATATGTACAAGTCTCTGAATGTCCAAGAAGTCATAATGTCCAGATGTTATAAAGACCGTTAGTCAATATGTACAAGTATTTTAATGTCCAAGAAGTCATAATATCCAGATATTATAAAGACCGTTAGTCAATATGTACAAGTCTCTGAATGTCTAAGAAGTCATGATTACCAGATGTTATAAAGACCTTCAGTCAATATGTATAAGTCTATTAATGTCCAAGAAAACATAATGTCCAGATGTTTTAAAGACCGTTAGTCAATATGTACAAGTCTCTGAATGTCCAAGAAGTCATAATGTCCAGATTCTATAAAGACCGTTGGTCAAAATGTATAAGTCTCTGAATGTCCAAGAAGTCATAATGTCCAGATGTTATAAAGACCGTTAGTCAATATGTACAAGTATTTTAATGTCCAAGAAGCCATAAATCCAGATGCTATAAAGACCGTTAGTCAATATCTACAAGTCTCTGAATGTCCAAGAAGTCATGATTTCCAGATGTTATAAAGACCGTCAGTCAATATGTACAAGTCTCTTAATGTCCAAGAAAACATAATGTCCAGATGTTTTAAAGACCGTTAGTCAATATGTACAAGTCTCTGAATATCCAAGAAGTCATAATGTCCAGATGTTATTAAGACTGTTAGTCAATATGTACAAGTCTCTTAATGTCCAAGAAGTCATAATGTCCAGATGTTATAAAGACCGTTAGTCAATATGTAAAAGTCTGTTAATGTCCAAGAAGTCATAATGTCCAGATGCTATAAAGACCGTTAGTCAATATGTATAAGTCTCTGAATGTTCAAGAAGTCATAATTTCCAGATGTTATAAAGACCGTTAATCAATATGTACAAGTCTCTGAATGTCCAGGAAGTCATAATGTCCTAACCAGGTAAGCCGGATCACGATTATCGCCAATATAAAGCATACGTTCCTCTCATACTTGTACTCACATATTTGCCGACACGCTGAGCTTTACGACCCCTCTTGTCTTAATAATATATAAATTTAAATTTGAATTTATGCCGGCGTATAAACGTGCTAACCGGGCAGATGTTAAAAAAAAACCATTACAATTATCTTTTTTAGGTACTTTTTGGTGTGGGGTTCCCTAAATGACAAAAACTAAACCCTTATAGTTTTGTCACTTAAGTCCGCTATTTCACAGGCATTTTACTGATAAACATAATTGAATTGAAGATATGCTCTTTTGCTGATGTACTTTTTTAGTATTATGGGCATGTACTGGGCATTCTATCAATTGGATGTTTTGATAACTGGACATTATGACAATTTGACTTTTTAACAATTCGTAGGGCATTACTTCCTTATCATTTTGACACACTGGCACTTGGCCCAACATACCCCGGAGGGATTGTAAAGTATTGGTGTTCTAAACCTTCGATCGGATGTATCAAATTACTTTGACGTATTTCCTTGCTTGCGTTACGTCAATGAGTAAACTGTATTTAAGTCAATAACTGGCCATCCTTGGTTGGCTATTTATTTTTATATTTTATTGTACTCGAATCTTTATTATGTAAGGTTTTCGGTAAGCTACTAACGTTTATCAAACTTATTTGTTACAGTGAGGAGTTCAAGCGAGGCATCCGCGTTAAACGTAATACTGTTAACACTCTCTCTTGCCTTATTTCTTAGTTCCCTAATGAAATTAGAAACGTGATAAATTATCAGGTGTATTTTATTAATGCGACGTGATTTATAAGCGAGCATCAGAATTGGTACATGGACTATTATATAGCATACTTATTTTTTTCCTAACGATCACTTTGACGTTTTCATTGATATTCTATAATCTATGTTTTAACGATAGCCAAAATTTCATAAATTAGTTGTTACGCGAATGTAAAATACTTATGTTGTAAATGTTACGAATGTTCGAAATTTTCCATTAAAAATAAGGTTTTAGAATTGGGTGTAAATTTGTTTAATATATTTTTAAGTCAATATTGTTATCTCTTGTTTCCGTTTAGATGATTCTCATATTTTTTCGTTAAGTATTGAAAATTATTATTGAAAAGAAAAAAAGACAAATTTGTATCTATCTATTGTAATAATATTAGCTACTAAATTAAAATCTTATCATAATTAGATATTAAATAAGTATATTTTTTTTATAAGAGTTAAGTCGTCGATACATATCTGTAACGGTATAGATATTTTAAGTGTTGCTTTATAAATTCACGTTTTTTTAACAAAATTACGATCAACTGTTAAGATACAAATACTGTATAAATAGATTATTATATTTTCGCAAGAAAATGTGAGCAAAATTTTAATTAGATAATTGAAAATCATTTGTGATCTGTAAATAATGATTAGAAACGCCTTCCTAGACGATATTATCTGGTGTAAATACGTGGTATAAAATAGTGGATTATATTCATTGTGTAAAAAAATAAACGGTTAAAGGAAACTATTTTTTTTTATTGTGACAACAATCTCTTCGCTATAATTATTATAATCGATTTATTAATTTTTAACATAAGGGGTTTTTCCTATTTTCTAATTATATATGTCAACGAAAAAAAAACTGGATAGATATCACACGAAAACTGTTGAGAGATCGCATTTTGCCAATTTATAACCCGTGTTTTTGTCTCATTGCACTGACATGTTTCTAATTGACAAATTTATATTATGAGATTTTTAGTGAAACTTTAATTAAAGTTAAGGACCGACTAAAGAGATATTAATCACATACAAAATATGCCTTAATAGTTTTGACATGCTCACTTATGCAACGTTGTTTGAATATACATACATTTCTTTTATAAATAGGTTCAACAGACGACTCCGCCTTACCTAATGTTAAATGACGGTGGAGTCCAGACGCCAAGATAGCTGGTCCAGCAGTTCTACCTGCTACACCAGCCATCCTTACCTTGCCGGCCTGCATATTGCTGCTTCATGCCCCTATTAAAGGATCCCGGGTTCAAGAGGGAAAGGAATACGTCAGCTGGCAAAGCCTTCCATTTCAGGATAGTGCGACTAAGGAATAAGTCACCAAATGTCTTTGTTTGCGTGGGAATAGTGGCCACAGTTATTGCACTTATTTCATGTATTTTGTTTCAGTAGTCATCCAAAGATATCGTTGTAGTCATCATAAACTATAATAAATAAATAATAATATTAAATATTTCCAACACCCACACCAATTAGCCTAGCCCCAAAGTAAGCACTGTAAGGCTTGTGTTATGGGATACTAGGGTAACGGATAGAATACATATATTGTACATATATAAGTATATTTATATAGAAATACATATTAAACATCCATGACTAGAGTACAAATGCTCGTATTCATCACACAAACATCTGCCCACACCGGGATTTGAACCTGGGACCTCTCGAGTCGGCGACACCATGAAACCTGGCGTATAAACCACTCGGCCACGGAGGTTTCAAACTGTATAATCTAACATCCAGCAGTTAAATGCTTACAACATTTAATGTTATTTAATAATCTATAATCTTTTATTTTAAGTATAATAAGGCGACAAACTAATAGAACACGCTTGTGCGACAATTGCGAAATTACGCTAAGTGTGTTCAATGCGCAAAACTCGATCAAACAGTAAACGTAGAATAAGACGTCGTCCTCGAGTTCCATGCGGATTAGTTAATTACTATTCAAATGAAGTTATATCAAATTCAAGATCCTATTTGCGAGCTGACGTTAACCCGGCAACAGCATATGGGTCTGTAAAGTACCTTAACGTGACCGCCCGACGGAAAGGAACCAAAGAGAGCTGCGCCGCCACTAAACTGCGCAACCGAGTGGAAACTGTCTGCAAGGACTCACGGGAACATAAATGAGGGTACAAAATTGTAGTCCTCTCCTGCCTGCCGCACTGTTAAGTAAGTATCTTATTCCAGACGCAATGAAGTAAATTTAAATAGGACAAAACTAAGTGGAAATTCCTATGAATTTGAGTTCTTTTACTTTTTATTAGGTAATCATAGCAATATAATAGGAATGATGATTTTATATGATTTTAAAATATATTCTTATCTTCAAAAATTATAACTTCAAAAATAAAATTTTCGTTAATCATAATTTCATGGAAAAACATGTAGCTCTAGTAATAAACACCAATAAAAAATAAAGTAACAGGTGAAGACGTGTTTTATTTTTTTTATTTAAAAAAACAACAGCGTTACAATATATACTTACTAATACTTAGAACTAGGTAAGGCTAGAAGGTAGTTAAATACCCTATAAATTATCAGATAAATGACTTCAAATACTATTTTATCGAAAACATCACTTAATGTATTTAATATGGAGATTCCTTTATAATTTTCTATTTTGGTTTATGTTCCTTTTTATATGAATCGGTATAATATGCGCTTGTTTCCAAACATAAGGAATCACACCTTCGTTTAATGAGGTATTAAATATAAGCGATATTGGGAGGCTGAGTGTTTTTACATTGGAAAAAAAGATAATGCATTGCATATGCCATCATTCGAGGAACGAACCGCCGCTCAGCTGCAAGGATCTGTGGTTTATCAAATCTAATGTAATGGTTTGGTCCTCCTAATGCATGTTCACACACTGCAGACTTATTTTCGGGCCTATGTTTCAAATAAGTCTGCAGTGTGTGAACATGCATTAGGGGGGCAAATTGAGATTAAAAAATATCCAAATTTCAATAGGGAAGATGGTTGGTATATACCACCAGCTTGGGAACCTATTATACAGGAGATAAAATCCCAACCCCGAGCACACACTGCAAGACCATCAGATACTATTAGTTCTTTTTGTTTGCATAATTTAACATAAGAAGGAGATAGAAAGCCTCTCTTGAGTTTGTTTCGCCGGTTCTTCTCAGAAAGGTCTCCCAATTTTGGAACCGTAAACTACCACTTACGGTAGTTAGGGTCAAATATATAAACTCAAAATTACAAAAAAGAATTTTAAATATAATAATTTATTAAATAAATTAAATAATAAATTCATACATAGACAATAAAAGTTTAAAAATCGAACAATGAAATAACCGAACGCTCAATAAAAGTCTTTCGAAGGTAGCTCGACAAATTAAATAAAAGTTTGATTCTGACGACGTAGCCTGTAAAGGCTACGAAACGTCAATAAATAAATAAAGTTTCGTGCATTAACCCATAACAACTAGTTTTATTCGTCGTAATAAATTAAGTTACCAGATTTTTTTTTCATTTTTTGTGAGCCTTATATTTATTTTAATTATTTTTATTAATGCATGGCTATACCAAATCGGATATTTACGACTACCATAAAGTTTTCTATATGGTACATATTTTTCAATAGCTTTATTAATAATGTCATAAAAATATTTCCCTGATTCCATTGTTGTGCAATTTTCTAAAAGTGATCGCCAATTTGTATATTTAAATAACAATGGTGTCGATTCTAGCATGGTTCTCTTAACCTAAACTTAAATTTGACAGCAGTATATCCTTGTCATTCTCTATACAGAATGAAAACGAGAGACTGATGTTAAATTTAGTTTTAAGTTAAGAGGATCACGCCAGAATTGGCACCAATGGCGTTATTAGAAAAAATCTGATTTCAATTAGATAAATCTAAAAGTAGAATATCTACTTAACGTCGATTTATTTTAACGTATCAGTATCAAAGGACTGACTGATATTCTGAAGTACCTACATAAAAGCGATATCAAATAAAAAAATATTACTGTATATACAGTAATATTTACTGTAATAGTAATAGTACTGTATTCCGGATATATATCCGGAAATGCCAGAGCAAAATATAGCTTTTCGGTCGTCTAGCAAAATCCTTTAAGCACAAAGAGTTGATCCATTTTGAACAAATCGCCCAGACTCCTGCAGTATATTTGACTCTTTGTCGGAAATCTCGTACGTACACACTCACCCACAGATCCTTTGTCCTGCCATAAATACAACATATGTAACAATAATATTATGTTCGTATCATCGATGAAGATGTGCCCGGAAAATTGTATCTTTTATGTTGATCCAGCGTTTCAATTTGAGGATGGAAAGGAAACGAATTTCGTCATTTACGAGAAATACCATGACATATTTGATTATTATGTTCCTATCATATCTTATATCGATTGATTATATTATTTTTCGTGGAAAAGGTATCACTAAACTGAGGACTTTGATAGACAAGAATGATAAATTTCAACATCAGATTATTTTTTTGGAAATGCCATTTCATTTTAATTATTTAAAGATGAGAGCGTTTAAATAGTTCTATTGCATTAAATCTGATTTCCAATGAAAACAAAAGAACCGCAAACAGTACGATTTAATAATTGTATCTCTTTCGATGCCTACGTAGACCTCATTTCAATAAAAAACCTTGTCAGCCTACTTCACAGTAGTATAAATAATGATAGGCATTCATTAACACGCGGGGCGTTTTTCGATTTCTGTGATTTCGGAGACGCGGCAAATATAATGGTGAATGGGAACCGCCGCGTTGCCCGTATCGTCGCACGCTTGTAGTCAATGGAAATATATGCTCCTTTTTTGAAAATGCGAAGTCTTGTGCGGCTCGCAGTGTGGCAAATGATTTGGCCCGCCAAGACTACCAGGACTATCACCCGTGGTGATACAATCTTTGCCATTGCCATTCAGGATGTTTTACTCGCAGACAGTGTGTTTTTTGCATTGGAGTGAGAAAAAACTTTTTCCTTTTTTTCTTGTTCCTCCTTGATCCTCAATAACTAATATAAACGTGGACGAAGTGACGGGCATCCGCTATTACGTAATAAAAGAATAAATCTGTCCTGTTCTAAGATCCCAAAACCTCTAAGATTTTATGTTTTTGTATTTTTTTTCTAAAACTTTGTATTGAAAAT